CAATCGCACGGAAGCGTTTCAGATCAACGACATAGAGTGCCGAGATGTGGTATGGTCTGTCGCGCAGGAATGTTTTCCAATAGCCTTGCTTCCAGAATCGGAAACCTTCCATCTCGGTTCGAGAATCGCCCATTGGCGTGAAGCCGTACGGCGCACCCTCTAGGTCGTGGTTAACAAGATCATACAAGTCCGTGCGAACAATCTGGTCTGCGTCGACGAAGATGACTTTTTCGAGGGAAAGCGGGAACAAAACGTCTAGGAAAAGCATCTTGTAGCCCCAGATTTCACGCTGCTTCTCACGCTGTGCGCGAAGCCAGTGCGGCCATTTGTAAGTGACCATCTCATAGGAGAAGCCATATTCGGCGGCAAGGTGAGGAAGGAAAGCACGGAAGGAGGGCGAGAGGAACTGCTCAATGAACCAGAATTTGACGGTGTACTTGGTGTTCTTCATGACCGAAACCATCATAATATTTAGCATGCGTTCGTACAAGTGGCCGCTAGCGACGGAGAAAATGTTGATATCGGCATGTTCGTTTTTGGAGCCAACGCCCACGCTAGAAAGAACACCCGAGGCAAAGTTGAGGCCCTTGGATACGAAATCCATGGCTGAGCCAGAGCGAGGTCCATCGTCTAGAACGTCTTCCTCTTCGAAGCCTGGCTTGCGGGAGAGACGGGGGAAAAGCGTTCGACCCTGGAAGGAGAGGAGAGTCACTTCATTGTTCTCATCGCCGGGCTGGGGGCGGTAGCCAAGGCCACCGACACTGTCGATCTTGAAGAGCTTCTCGCTTCGACCGGGCTTAAGGTTAATCTGCCATAGACCTGGCTGCGCCTTGAACTGGAAGTAGCCCAAGTTGGCCATGATGATGGTATCGGCGAAATGATGTCTATCTTCTGTTCCCAGGACGAGTTGCACTCCTCGTGGCGGCGAATTGGTAGTCAGATCGCGAGAGTGGCCTTCAATAAGGATATGCTCCAATTCATAGGTTGCGTCAACGTTGGAGTCATCTTTGAGTGAGCCCAGCTTGATGTTATCCAGATCGTGAATAGAATCCTTCGGCGCAACGAGCCACGAAGAGGGGACATCCATTCCCAGTGTAAGCAAGGCCTCGACAGGTACACCGGAAAACGATGCCCCAGGGCGTGAAATTGAGCCGTCACTGGTAAACAAAGGCTCGGACTCGAGCACATAGCGATAAAATCGCTTGACGGGGATCTCCTTCATCTCCTCTTTGGGATTAAGGAAGATCTTGAGTTTGACACCAGCTAGCTCAGAGAGAACCTTGAGGATGGGTAGCCATCGTTGAGCATTTTCGGAAGCTGGATCCAGAGAAGCAACAACGTTGATCGCAGGATCTTCAGAGTTAGAGACTGTAATCACAGAGTGGTCGATCTTCCACTTTTCAGACAGATCCATTCTGAAGTCAGGGGTGGACTCAAAAATCCCTTCGGGGACATCTGAGATGGTGGATAGAGAAACAAGCGCAGAGAGCTTGGCAAGGTCAAGGGGTTTGGAGATCCGCATGTTCAGGCCCAGGTTCATGGCAGCCTTTGTAACAGCATCAACACGTTTCGTCCGCTCATAGTTGATCAGCTGGTCAATCTCATCGATAGTCAAGCCGTCTTCTTTGTCAATGGGCCCAACAATCCGGCCGTTGACGACTAAACCCTCGACGCCAGGCTCGAATCCAAGTTTTTGGGCAAGGCGTCGGTGGAGTCCAAGAATACCTTGGGTTGCTGACTCAGAAACATCTGTCTCTGCGTTTTCAAAGGTGTTGACAAGAGCTAGAGTTCGGTCAATGTCCTCGCCCTTTATTATTGATTGGTGAATCTTCTCCAAAAGAGGACTATTTTGCTCGGCATCCGAGGCACCATTGGAGACAAGAAGGATCTCAACTTGCTTATTCCTCTTCTGGAAGGTCAATGCATCGGAAAGCAGTTGTCTTCCTTCTTTCGCCTCGAAGTCACCAACGACAATGAGATGAATACCACCACGTAAGCCATCCTTTGCTGGAATTTGAGGTAATTGATCAAGGACGTCCGCTTGCGATCCCAGTGCGTCAGCGAGGTCAACAATCCGGACGCTCTTGGGATCTTCTGGCATCAGGAACGTGTTGCGTCTTTCAAACGAAGCAGCCAAAAAGAATTCCGGCAGCCAAGCATCGGGAGGGAAAACACCCTCCATGATTCCCTGTCGGACAAGTTTAAGATCACGGCCGATCAGCATACTCATTTCCTGCATCCAGTTGCCTTCACGAGTCATGGGAATGCCGTTGACTAATATATTAGGAGTTTCGATGCTGAGGCTCAAACGACGCTGGTATTTGATTGCCGTGGCTGCAACAGCTTCGTAGCGTTCACTTTTCAGGACTTCTTCTAATGAAAGAGCCTCCTTCCCTTCTTGGGGGTCTTGGCCCTGAGTCGCAGAAGTAAACGCTGCCTTTTCCGGATTACCGCCCTTCGCCGTGGACACAGACTATCGACATATTGGTTAGTCTTGTAGTTGTAGAATGATTCGAATACCAGTCGACCAACCTCTTCCAGATACTGTATGAAAGACGACAGTCCAAACGTCTCATACAGATAGTGCGCTACTTTCATTTGAGCGGTAGACTCTGATGACGCAGCCATAGGGACTAATCCGAATCGGACGGGGATCATGCGCTTGACAAACGTCTGAAGTTGTCTGACAACCAGCAGCATGTCTTCAGGATTTGACAAATCAAGAGGCACAACTACATTGTGCAAATCGCGGCCAACAGGCGGAATTTGTCCTGGGTAGGCATTGGAGATGAACTATCGATAATTAGCCATGTTCCAGAAAGATTATAGGTCTTGAACATACAGCCTCAAGATCATTTGGCCAATCTTCGTATTGAGAATCATTCTCAAGATCGTTCAGCCAGATAATGACCTCGCCACCTTCCAGTTCATCACGGTAGTCATATCGCTGGGCTTCGTCATCCGCACGTGCTTCTGCAAGAGCTGGATGAGACAAGAGCCTAACTGCATCCCGGCCAGAGATACCGAGATCACGGAATTTTTGTATCAATTTCCTCTCGCGGCGGAGGATATCTAGAAGGGAGAATGCATCAATCTGGCGCGAATCGATTTGAACACCGTTGATCCACATCGCATTATATCCTGCCGGGATCATTCTCGCTCGGTTAAAGCGAATTTCGTTCAAGAGATCCTTCGAAGCATTGTGGGCAGCTACCGTAGAGGAATGCTTGGGGAAATTTTGTGACAGCTTTAGCAAAGTGATCAAGGGGTCCTCGCTGTCCATAACAAAGGCTGCGGCATTCAATCCCAACCTGGAGACCTCGGACGAAGAGAGGGGTCGAAGATCGGTCGGCGCATCTTCCTTTAGGACATCCGGAGCAGCTTCCTCCAGGCTTCCATCCCGCTTCTCGGCATCGCGGTCATCAATCACAATATAATCAGTTCGTTTTAAAGCAAGCTCCACGCCGTATCCAGAAACGAACAATGGGCGAGAGGTCCAATGTTGAGGAGGTCGATAACGCACACGGTACGAGATTTGTCCTTGTTTTGCCATATCGCTTAAGATCTCGTGGAATTCTTTAAACATAGGGGCCGAAACATCCGCGTATAGTACAGCCGGTGGTAGAGACAAATCTCCGAGGACTCGATCGAAGGGCAATTCCCGAGGGTCCCTTTGCGAGAGAACTTGAGGTCAGCTCTCCGTAAAAACTGATGTAGCTTTTGGTGTACTTACAGCTCTCCCTCGACATCCTGTTGCGCACGCTCCATCGCGGATGAACAATACTGCTTGTCCTCATAATGGACCCAGACTGGACAAGCGGCATCTTGAGCGGCCATCAAGGACTGCTGAACGGAGGTGTTATAAAATTGGTAATGGGCTTGAATTCGAGGAGCAGGTGATCGAATGGCAAGCGATAATTTGAAGGAGGAGAGGCTTTCAGCGGTGCGAAGGTGGCCATCTTCATGGACGACCTGCAAGAAGCGGTCGTAAAGCTCCTTTTCGGTGATGGCATCTTCGAAAGAGCCGCCGGCAATTCGGTCGAGCAATGGGAAGTATGATGTCGCATTCTCTTCGGCAGCCGACTCTCTAAATAGGGTTGGTGTGTGAGCAATTGGGACGGCCTCGGAGCGAATGTCAGCGGTAGGGGACAACGCACAGCAACTCCACCAAGTACGGAGATGAGTCGAATGAAGCTTGAAGAGCAACATTGACAGACGGGCTGCCATTGACAAGTAAGCCAGGTAAGAAAGCCCCGACGGCGGCGTACCAATGCCACGGAGTGTGGGATCTTGAGGAGACCTTCATCCTCGCGCAATGGATCGCGGAGATCGTGAAAGGGAGGTTAGATGAAGATTATTGAAGTGGGAACAGGCCCGGCGGTTCAAGTTCGGGTGTGCTCTAGTTCGTCAGCTTGTAGGTCATAGAAAGCATCACGAGCCAAACGAGCCTATGCTCAAATCGTCAACAAACGCGGAGATTCGCCGGTGGATCTTGCCACGACATAGGATACTTGGATGGTTCGCTATCTCTTATCAGCATGGTAGCTCCGGGCGGTGAGGGTCGGCTTGGGCCAGCCTCTTGTATAGTACTAGTAGTAGCATCTATTTATTCCCAGTTTGATACTAGAAAATGAATGCTACGATGGATATAAGGCTTAATAGGGAGTATTTCAATTGAATTTGCTTCTTTGATTGTTCGTTCAGGCATGATTTCGTAAAATAAAGTAGATATCCTGCGCCAGTTTTTTGTCTTCCGTGACATGCTATGACCGTTCGCCTTGTTGCTCCGAGTAAATGACGAGAAATTTCAGTTTATGTGCATCCCAGATGACTTCTTCTTCTTCTTCTTCCGGTGTATCAGACGCCATGGGTGAAGTGTTTTGAGCGAAAAGTTGTAAAAAAGGAAATTGAGTTGAGTCCAGGCTCAACGAAAGAATGTAAGTCGACCAGTCCAGGTAGGTGGGTGGAACGAAGAGCCGGCTTCAAATGAAGCTGGACTCCTAGGACTGGGAAATTTTGCGGCTAGTCGCCTCGCCGAGCAAGCGGCGACGCTTCTGCTCATCGATCTCAAAAAAGGAGCTCTCTGCAGAGCTCTGTTGGCTGCCAGGCCGAGAGTCGAGAGCGGTGGTAGATTTCATCTTTTTGAGGTTTTTGGTGCGGGCATTGGGGCCCAGGGATCGCACCTCACGGGCAATGCGCTCGAGGAAAGAGCCGGTCTTGGCCGGGTTTGCCTTGGGGATGGGGAAGTAGGGGAGGGGCTTCTCAGCTTCACCCTCGGCTAGACTGGCGTCGATTCCGGAGGAACCGAAACTAATACCAGAATCGGCCTTGCGGTTCTTGTTGCGGTGGGGAGAGCCGCCCTCAGACAAGTAAGAGGGCTCGGTCACCACCAGGCACTCATTAATAAGCTCGTTGACGTGGTCCACGTAGCGCACAAGACAATCATGCAATGGTCCCCACGAGGTAGCCTCGCCTTCAGGTGCACCCTGGACGATAACGGGGTCCAATGCCTCCTTGCCATTGATTGCGACCGCATTGATGTACCGGAAGAAACCATCCCGCTGAGTCTTCAAGTGCTGATAAGTCAAGTGGGGGGGTTGGTGTTCGGGTCTTGTCGGAGACGGGTGGATACAAAGTATTGAGCATGGCGATGTGGTTCACCTTGTTTTGAGGCTCAAGCAGCATATCATTAATGAGAACCTGGATGAGAGGTTAGTCACCAGCGATTTGGATTTTAGTGCAGTTCAAGTGGTACTCACCCAGCGACGCAGGCCAACGTAGATCTGAGTGTACAGGGCGGTCACGGTGCGAGCTTTGGTGTTCATCGAGTGTAACCAAGTCATAACACCAGGATATTTTCCGGCAAATCCCGAGGAATTCGGATTCTCAGCGTCCTCGCGTTTGATACCCAATCGCGTCAGAGCGGCCTCCATTTCCTTCTTCCAACGGGTCTCGAGATCTTTGAGATAATCAATCGCAGTCAGAGCTTGGGGGGAAATCCACACTCTCAAGCTCGGCAGTAAAGCACCGATGCACAAATCCCGTCAGGAAGGAGACAGGAAGTTCGCAGGGTTGAGAGCTCCGGTTCGCGATTTGGTGGCTCATGAGCGAGCGAAAGTCTGCGGCGGCATCGAAAGAGCCGTTGGAGGAGCGAGATGAGTGGGTGGAGGCGGAGTTGCGGGGGAGAAAGCAGTTTCGGGAGAACGAGTGCGAGGGAATGGAGTATTCGTCGGATTACAGTTAAATGTGTACATGTCTCGCAATGGGATCTCATAGGAAGCCGGGTAGCGAAGACAATGATCGAAAATCCAGGTGAGAGCCGCACCATTTGGGCTGTCCAAAGACTGCGGGGAACGAGGAGACATTTTGTCGGATGTGATGGCGGAGGGAAGGCGGAGAGAGAAGGAAGTAGAATGTATGTCTTTCTGATGGTGGAGAAGAATCAAACGGTAGTTCGGACAGCCAGCAGAGCATAAATAACAACGCTCTGTCTGGTCGGAATTGCCGAGGGCTGGGATGATTCAAAACACGCCAAAGGGGTGACTGCGTGTGACGAGAGGGAGGGCAAAAAGAAAGAGGAAAGTGAAAAATAGGGTTGAATAATAATGAGGGCGGGACGGAGAATCAGACGGAGACAGCAGCCATGCTCTGTGTCAAAGTGGCAAGAAAAAAGTGTGGCTGAGGGGGAGGCGGATGTTTGAGATGAATCCGAAGGGCGAAGCGAGGGGGGTCACAAATTGAGAAGCTGTCGTTGGTCGATCACTAGGCAGCTGCAAGATGAGATCTGAAGCAAAGTAACCCAAAATGAAGGTTTGGATTCGGAGGAATTGAAAGTGTCGGAGACTTGCTCTCGAGAGAAAGGAAGTGAAACAGATGTTTCAAGGAACGAAAGGCTGGTAAGGATAGTAAGGATGGTAAAGATGGTAAAGATGGTAAAGATGGCAAAGATGGTAGAAGATTGAAGATGAGGGGAGAGTCAGAGAGCCGGGGGAGGAACAGTTGATTGTTAAACCTCCCACACTCCCACACTCCCACTTTCTCCCACTCTCACACACTCACTCACACTTTCCTCCCCCATCCACTCTGTCAGTCCAGACCACGGTGGATCAGATTGACTGTATCCATTTCCACTTCCATCGGGCCTCTCACGCTTCCCGACTCTGTGGATCCATCGCCCGTTTTTCCGAGGCTCCACCTGCACTCAGCCGGCACCAGGAAGGCGACCGAGGGGGGGGGAAAAGACAACCGTTGGACTTCCGGCCCTCCGGATGGCCCACTGGACCTCCCGTCTAATATCGTCGCTAAACTGAAAGGATTCAATTTTCCTCGCTTGGCTGCATTTTCGAGCCCGAAGCTCTGGGTACTTGCTTTAGCGTCGTCGTCGTGCATCCGCGGCCGCGTCCCTGGATGCTAACCCGTTGAATCCTCAATTTGGGCCCATTCGCCTTCCATTGGGTTTATTAGTATTTTTGGTTTTCATTTTTTAGGTACTTTTGTATGACATTCGCATACGAGGACGGCTTGACTCGTCCTGCATGATACTACTGTACTACCTACGAGTCTACTACTCGTATGGATTGAGGCCGCCCCGACCGTGACGATTGTGTGACAAGCGCGCCAGAGGCGTCCCTCGCAAGCAGACTCGATATGATCCATGTGAACCAGTTCGACAGAGCACAGCGCACAGAGCGCAGAGTCATGCTGTGCAATCCATACGATCAACCTTTTTTTAGGATGTGTCGTCGTCACTCCAAGCCTCGCTGGAGGCGAAACGGTGTCTCTTCAGCAGTGGGGCCGGCGAAAACCCTGTTGCCACTCTCATCTTGACAGCCTCGACTGGGCAAAGACAACAATTGCTACTACTACGTAGTACCTACATACTCGAAGTGTAGAGTATGCAGTACATACGAGTACTCATACACACAGCATCCCCAACTCGATCTATCTTGATTTCATCCACAATAAACAACCGCAATCGGAGGCAATACCCATGGTTCTCGCCGTGTCACCCCGCTCGCGACCCACGGAAACGCACATTTGGTACCTGCGTCGTTTCAGATTCCTCATTCCCACGACGCATCACTTCTCGGTACTCGTCGTACCTTTGCGAATTGACTTCCGACATCATATGTAGAACCTACTCCGTACATGTGCCTGCTTTGACAGTTCATGTCCGATATTGTACATGCCCAGGTACACACTCATAGACATGCAGCCTCGCGCGAATCCTGGCCCGTCACGCTCTCCGTCCTGCATCTGCATCCGCGTGCGATTGTTCCTTACCGGTACGGTGGGAGAGACGAAAATCCTCCCACCTGGAGACAAAAGGCCCCGGCCCTCTTTGCTCGTGGGGGACAGAGACACGACCTTCCAAAAACAGGACAGCGGAGTGGATCTGGCTTCAGCTCCGCAGTACCAGCGATCCCAAAGCCCAGACTGTCCAGGCACGACGATCAACGCTCCTTTCATTGTTCGGTGGATACGTCAGAACCCCTTCGTTCACGAGGGTATTAACACGGGCTAGACGGCGATCATGGCATCATGCCCCTGGAGTACCTGGACACTGGGCTCCCAATTTCCAACCCCTCGGGCCGGATATTAGATTGGGATGAAAGAACGAAGGCCCGTGGTCAGGTTCCCTATCGTATCCCCTTTCCTGCTGGGCAATCTCCGTGCTCGAGGTATCGATTTCAGTATCAAAGAAAATCCGTGTGGGGCGCGGGGCGCCATCCGAATCGCGAATTGGACCTGTGCCATTTCGAAGTCCGGCTCTCCGCGGCCAATAAAGCTGGTATTCTCTGATCCATCCCAATTTTGCGGGTTTTCATCGCAGACCTCTTTTTCCTGGATCAGACCGTCTACATATGTAGGGCTCCATCTCCGATTTGGTTCGACATGAAATTTAAGATTCTTGTCCAATGGAGACACGGTGGGAATCGTGGGTTGGGACTTTCCAGGGTCCGAGGCGAGTCATTACGATAATCGAAGAAAGCTATTGATCTTCATTCGATTTCCCAGATTCAAATGTATAATATGCACAAAAAGGCTCGGTTAAGTATTACTGGGGACATATCCGTACTCCGTGCTATCCATTCTAACGTTCTGTCAAACGTCATCCTTGCCCTCGATGGAGTACACCTCCAATTCGGCGATCATCGTGTGAGCCGGGATTGTAACGCAAATCGGAAAGCCCCCGTAGTCAGGATCGTCGTGCGGCATCATGGCAAAGATCCCACTACGAGTCTCGTCTCCATTCAAAATCCGAAGAGTTCGTAGCTGCCCCGTTTCTTTGTTAGCAACCTGTTTCTCCCGAAAGTGCAAGAAACCGGTGAAGGTGCTAGTCGGCGACAACGATCGAGCTCGGACCTGGAACCCCCAGCCGATCAAAAGGAACTTTGGTCCTCCTAAATGGATGACCATTCCAGCACCAGGTCCAGCCTTTCCGAAAACGAAGCACCGCTCAATTGTCACCTCATAGCCTCCCCAATGTTTGACAACTGGTCTGGAAGGGTCGCTGCCGTCCGCCGCAAGCTCGTCAAAGTGGAACCCGACCGAGGCGTCTGGGCGTGATTGGGCGTCGAGGACGATCTGCGAAACCGATTCGAGGAGTCCATAATGCTTGGTAAATGGATTTGTGGCGGGCTCGAGGGTATCGATTCCGAAAGGCGATACCCCAATGGCCTGGAACGATCCGTACGCAGTCCAGATGCGCCGAGCCCCATAGTCATCACGCCGCTGCTCAGGTATGAACAGCGGCTGGTTGCGGTGCCGATACTTGCGGCACGAGCTAGCGTACTCGTTCAAGTAGACGTCGGGTGCGATGAAGTCCAACGATGAAGCGAACCGTTGCCAAACATCGAGAACATTCGTTGTGCCGCCTCCCGACGGATAATCGCCAGGATAGCCACCGCCCCCAGCAACAATGGGGAAGTCATTGTCACCGTCTTCGCCCACATAGTTTTGCCATACATTTGTATACAGCGGAATAGGATATTGCTGCTTCCCAGCTGCGGCGACATGTTCGAGGTAGTGGGCGTAGTGATAGGCCATAAACAGTTCATCGGTTTGAGGACCTTTACCAAAGACCTGCTTCCCAGGATCCCTGGGATTTACTCTGGGCTTTGAAGTGGATAAGATTGGCCTTGAGATCAACATGAAGGTTATCCCAGTCCTGTGCAAGAAAATGCAGTAGATCCTCAGGCACAGACTCGCGGAATCGCTTCTCTGCTGCGACAGAGCCATCGCGCGAATCACCCAGTAGTCCGGTCTCGTTCTCCACCTGTACCATAACTACTGTCGAATGTTCGCCATCAATGTCTTTGATGTGTTGCAGCAGACGAGCGAATGCTTTTGCATCGGCTATACGTCCCTCATCGTGGAAGATAGACAACACATCACCGGTCTTCAAGACTCCCCCGGCCTTTCTCAACTTCGCTCGAGGGAATCTCTTTGTGTTGGTTTTTATCCATGGAGGAACGTAGGTGGAAATGCCTTGAGAAAAGGTTAGTAGGAAGTCATATAGTTGCTGCTTGCAATAAGGGCTCATAACACACCGTTTTTAAACGACCCAAACCAGAGCAAAACGAGATGTAGCCCATGTTTTCTCGCACCCAGTATAGCTTTATCCAGTTCGGCGAAGTTGAATTGATCCTCGACTGGCTCAATATCTTCCCAGGTGACACATCCCAGAACTGTATTAATGTTGGTATCTACCAGCTTCTGCCATACTGTATCCATGAAGGCCCCAGAGGTCATGGAAGAATTCTGCAGTTCTGCAGCCAGAGCAAGAAACGGGCGGCCATGAACCACCAGCTGCTGGGTGTCGCCGACCTTGCGGAGGTGTGGGATCTTCGGAGAGAGAGTCATGGTTTTTCTAATTTTAATATGTCCGCGGTTGAAGTCACGAGATAGAGCACAAAAGAACTTGGAAGAATTGATCGAATAGCCAGACCACACGACTCCGACTGGTGTCTTCTTATACCCGCGATATATTCCTCTCCCCCTCATCAACCCCGCCATCACAGTACAGCCTGTGGCACCATGCCGGATAATACTTGATCATAACGCGATCTGGCTCCATCAGGATGCTCATCAGAACGGGATTCAGGTGGGATGATTGGGCGATATCCCGCTGGGACCATTGGGAAGGGCTCAAAGTGCATCCCCCGCACGGAGCGATAGGTATCATGACATGCGGGATTGGCTAACTATGATTGGCCGACATCCCGCATCCAAAGACACGACACCTCTCCGCAAACGCTTTTCCTGATCTGGCAGAAACCCGGGGTAAATAGCAACTACTGAGACCAGGAGATGAATGGGGAGATATCTACTTCGCCTCGTGTATAAATAGAGGCTTTGGACTGGGGGTAAGACTACTTCCCTGTCCGCGGCTTCAGCAAACCGATACCTACCTTGTTGGTAAACAATCAGCTACCTCCTCGTTTCTTCGTAATATGAAGGATATTAAGACTCCCAAAGCCGATGAGGCCTCGGCATCTCACGCAGAGTTCTCATCTCTTCCCAGGCTGACGGCTTCAAACATACCCGAGGTCACTTGGTGGAAGCATCCTGGACTGAGGAGGCTATACCTGATGATGCCAATCTTGTTTCTAGGTAAAGATATCAACTAATCAATTGACCATTGAGTATCGTTGCTGAGACTCCCAGGTTCTTCCACAAATGGATACGATGGCTCGCTATTAAATGGATTGCAAACAATGACGCCTTGGCAAGACTGTGAATATGGCCCAGCTGCATCAACATCGTGACATGCTAACGGTCAGGCAGATTTCGGTAATCCAGGTGGCTCGACACTGGGCCTTTTCACGGCAATCCAAAACATCGGTGGGGTTTGTGCACTATTAATTGGTATTTTCTTCTTTAAACTCCCCTATCATGATGGGGTACATTAGCTGAAAGGCCTGACAGCTTCCTATGTGGCCGACTTCTTTGGACGAAAGACCGGCGTTGTCATCGGCCTACTTGTTCTTTTTGTAGGAACAATCATTCAAGTCGTACCGTCCGTCAACTCAAGCATGTTTCTTGCGGGTCGCTTCTTAGTTGGGCTTGGGTAAGCTGACTCTCCCTGGAAGCTAGATCTGATAAACTAACTCGAGAAGATCAAACGTGACCCAGGGATCTGCGCCTCTACTTATAACCGAACTTGCCCATCCTCAGCACCGTGGCAAGCTAACTACCATGTACAACACTCTGTGGTATGTCGGGGCAATAATCGCGGCTTGGACGGTGTTTGGGACAATCAAGTATACATCGGAAGCATCATGGAGAATACCGGTCGCCATGCAGGCAGCCATGCCTGCCATTCAGTTTTTGGGCATATGGTTTGTCCCTGAAAGCCCCCGTTGGCTTTGTGCGAATAATCGCTCTGAGGAGGCCTTTGAAATATTAGTGAAGGTAAGGAATACCGAAAGCCTTTCAGTAATGGGATAACCAACATGCTTCAGTATCATGCCAATGGCGACAGAGACGACACTTTCTGCGCGTTTGAGTTCCATGAAATACAGGAAACAATACGTATGGAGAAGGAGAATTCGAAAAACGGCTGGCCTGTCCTTGTGCAGACACCAGGAAATCGCAAACGACTCCTACTTATTCTATTGGTGTCATTTTTCTCGCAGTGTTCGGGCAACGGTCTGGTGTCATATTATTTACATGACATCTTAAGCTCCGTCGGAATCGAGTCCTCTTATGACCAGTCCGTCATCAATGGTGGTTTGACAATCTGGTGCTTTTTAGTGTCAATTTGCTGCTCTGCCTTCCTTGTCGATGTCCTAGGTCGACGATTGCTTTTCCTGATTGCTGGCTTCGGCATGCTGATTACATTTAGCATTTGGACAGGGTAAGTGACTGCAATTGCCCCAATATGAGGTGGAAATCGCTGACTAGGTGATAGTTGCTCAGCAGTATATGCGCAAACTGGCAACAAAAGTGCCGGAAGCGCAGTCATTGCTATGATATTTCTCTTTTATGGAGTCGCCGGATTCGCCTGGCCCGGATTGACAGTTGCGTATCCCGCTGAAATCCTTCCTTTCAGCATCCGAGCCAAAGGTCTTGCCGTTACTATGGCTGCAACGGCCTTGTCGTCTGTCTTCAACCAATATGTCAATCCGATTGGTCTTGAGTCATTGAAGTGGCGATTTTATTTCGTGTATATTGCGATTCTGGTCATTGAGTGTCTTTGTATCTGGTTCCTATTTGTGGAAACAAAGGGCCCGACACTAGAGGAGATTGCAGAGCTGTTTGACGGGGAACATGCCAACGTCGCTGGTAACGAAGGGCGTACACATGATCAGGAGACCAAGTCAGTGGAGCCATGAAATGACCGTAATTTCGTGTTACCGTTTGTGCTCATTCCAGCCGGTCTGAGCATCGACAAAGCATCGCTTGCAAATTTTCCTCGCTCTGCAAGATCAGATGAAGCCGGTGTATTTATCTCTCCACCAATGGGAATCGCATGTTGAAGAAGAAACTTTACTGTCCATTGGTCCACAGTGTATGTTCGGTCCATTGACTGCATGCATACTTTCTGGAAGGTGAACAGCCGCTCCATCTAATCCCACATTAGCCTTTTGCCCCCCAATATTCTCCAAGGGGGATATGATCGCACCATAAGGTCTACTCCCTGCCAGTATCCTTTCAGTTTGAGAAGTATCTCAAAGTTGAAATAGAGTCGTGTTCGCGCATCGAGAAGTTCATTTTGACTGCCAAGCAGAAGTGTATGAAGCAAGACTGACGATGAAACCACAGTCATATGCGCTACAATTAGGTAGACTGCTCCACAGTCTGGCGTTTCGTGTGAAATCTTTAATAAGTCACTGAAAGACGTAGCATGATACTTGCAACGAGCAACGAAGATGGCTCGGCTGGGAGTCTCGGCAAGTTTCATGTCAAGATATGGAAAGTAAAGAAGAGTTGAATAATGATGATAACCTAGGTGAAGAGCCACGAATGCCTGCGCTAGACCAAGCTCCGTATGTTGTGTTAGATTCCTGGTGTTGAAGTGGAGACTGGCTGGCAGCTCTCGAAGAAAGTGGTCAAATTCTTGTGCAAGCTCAGTCGTGGTCGCCTCAGCCTCGTGTTGGTCTAGAGCCTCTTCTGCCAGCTTCTGGTGCAGAATTTGAATGTGGCCGAATATTCGAGCGAGAATAACCATGTATCCCCACAAGCCTCGACGAAGCTGGGATCGATTTTCCATTCTTTCTCCGGGAACTAGCTTCCAGAAGTCAATTTCTGGCATTGGGAGATTATGCTGTTGGTTATGCATCTGTCGTGGTAGGTCTAAACCGGCAGAGGACCATTGATCAATCATATACAAGGACCACCAAGTTCGAATCTTTATCTCCCTTGTTATACTGTCATCCGTTACGTCGGGTTTCGGCAGATGCAGTATATGCGCCATTCGAAATGCGACGCCTGTCATGAATTTTAGAATTGGTTCCTCCACAGCGTCGTGTGGGTTTATCTCACCAAAAAATATAGCCTCTCCGGCTGACTCGCCTTCTGTTCCACACAGGTTGCCGACGAGGATGCTCGCATGTATGTTATCAAGAGAAACATGATCAATGTTCATTTTCAAAAGATGCTTCGCCGCTGAAAAAAAGCTATTCGTTTGATGACGTGTTTCTTGGTCGTCCGCAAACCTGTGATAGAAAGAGAAGTCAGTATACTACCAGTAGACTCAGTCAGTTGTAAGGTCTGATAGTCCATCTCTATGACCTACCGCGCTGCCAGTGCCATAACGCCATAAAGTACCGCCATCGGCAAGGCTCCCTCGCGCACTCTTTTCCTCAGGAGTGAGGGGTGAAACAGAGAATGAGGTTTGTCATGGATGAATCGTAAGTAAAGGTCGACCAAATTATCTCGAGTGCCTTTGGTTACATCCTGGCTTTGTAAATGAGAATCAGCCGCGCTAGGTGATGTACATATCGGGTACGGCAATAAAGAGCGCTGAGGTCCTTTTGGCTGGTAGGACAAAGAGCAGTGCTTCCCTTGCTTCAAGCACAGTTGGCATGCGCTCCTTACCCCCGCAAGCCCCGCAATGCATCGCCGCTTGCCAACTCTGCATTGCGAACAGGATGTGGGAACCTTCATCGATTTGGGTTAGTGATAATTTTGAGTACTAGTAACTTGTAAGTTTAGTAACTAGTAGCATGAGATGAAGTGCTAAATGGCAGAACGCAGCTTCTATAGCACTAGTCAAGCAACGTGACCGCCTACCTTAAGGGTCCCCGGGATCGGCAGAAAAGACAATCTTATCTCACGGTAGTTTCAAGGTCCACTGGGAATCTCAACTTTTCCAAGCTTCATGCGACAGCTTCCCGAGGCCCAAAGAAAAACCTTGTTGCGCCATGGGGAATGGCCCACTTGAGCGAAAGCTCGAATTTGAGAAGCGCAACCAAGATCTGGTAAAGCTACCCAAGTGTAAGCGATTTATCTCCTCTCGCCAACCCAAACCACAGCCAATACCATCAGCGCGGAATTAACAGTCTTGATCCTGCAGATGCAAAGGTGGAAAAGCGTCCAATCCCTCATGCCCCTGTCGCGTCGCCATATGCGGGCCCGTCCGTGCCTAAAGTCGTCTACGTTTCTAGCAACACCCCATTCATGAGTGCCGTGAAGCGCGTCCAGAAATTACTCCGACAAGCCGAGAAACGCGCCACAGCCAAGATTAGCCTCGAGGATACGCGCAAAACAGAGAAACAGAAGCTCGCGGAATTGGCTAATTCTGCTGAGCAGCGGGAGGAGGTCTTTGTCAAGGCTACCGGGCGGGCAATCGAAAAGGTGCTCAACGTGGGGAAGTGGTTCGAAGAAAAAGAATCAGAATACTCGGTCCGCGTGAATACTGGAAGTGTCCTTGTCGTGGATGATGTGGTTGAAGATGAGGAGCGAAAAAGAAAAGCTCGCCCAGAAGGAACAGAAGCAAAATGATACAACCAAAACCGAGCCTGAGCAAGGCATTGCGAAGTCTGACGCGAAGAAGCGTAAACGACAAGAGAAGCCCGAGGCTTCCGATGATTATGAGTTACCCGAGACGCGAACCCGATGGATTAAAATGGTTGAGGTCGCCATCAGCCTCAAGTGAATTGACTGCGAAGGGTATGGTAGAGATGGCTGCGACGTGCAATGCCATACCTTGCTAGTGTCACACTCCATATTATCGCCCTGAAGGTACTGAAAGACACTGCGATCAGGCGATATGCCATCGTGGATTCCATTGTTCGTACGGATCAGCACCATCAATGACCTTTCGACCGTTTTCTACAAATGCACCGAGATGCATCGTCTTCACCGCCACGCATTTACAAAAACATGCATACAAACCTCGTTTTGAAACATTCAGACGAAATTACAAGGATTATTCGCCGAGCCGATTTCCTCACATCCACTTACCGGCTCCTTGAGATTAATTTCCATGGATGAACACACAATGATACCCATACAATGCCACTCAATAGACTGCAGAATAGTCTGTCTGAATGAAAGATCAATTGATTGAACAAGATTAACATGAAGTATCCATATTTCCAGAACCATCATCTATAAACACTCCGAAATATACAAAATAGAGATCATCTCCTATCCAGTCACAATGACAAGAATCTAATCTACACGCTGCGAGTCTGGCACGCAGGCCCAGCTGCAACCATATCGTTTGAACGGCAAGGGACGCATCTTCTCTCCAGAAGCCCTTGGCCGTTTCATGCCATTTTCGTGGGGAGTGCAATCCCACCACTCCATCCATTCCGCACGACGACTCACAAACTCCCGCTGACACATTGAACAATACCACCCTCCGTCTGCACGGACGCCTTGCGCTAGACTGAGCAACGGAATCACAAGTGATGGAAATTCGAGCTTTTCCTCCTCCGTGATGAAATCGAGGCCCGGGAGTTTCCATAGGGCTCGAAGAGATAATTCGCGTAAAGATGGAGCATTTGTCGGTGCTGTCTGTTGTGTTTTTGCTAGCCTGGAGGATGGGGTATTTCCGATAGGCTTGCCATCCATATTGTACAAGGTTGTAGGACCTGTTGCTACGTGGATAGCGGTCCAGGCATCATCGGGTGGAGTGCCCTCGTATTCTGTGAAGGTAGCTTGGGTTTGCGGAAGCTTCTCATCCCCTTTGTCGTCGTCTTTATCGTCATCGTCATAATTGCCGTCGTTCTTTTCGTTCTGACTTTCACCAGAGTTACAATGCCACTCGGCGATATCGGCATCTTCAATTGAAAGGAAGGGATTCGGGCGTGGCGTAAAGTGTTTGAGCTCTCCCTTTTGAAGAAGAACTAGCAGCTCCCACGGGAGATGAGAGAGCCGATTGACGGATAGGTTCAGAACTTGGAGTGCGGTGAGATCCCGGATTGTGCAGGGAATAGATGTGAGCTTGTTATTACGCAAGCTAAGTACCCTGAGATCCTTCAGCTCAAAGAGCTCTCTGGGAAGCGTGGCAAGGGAATTATTAGGAAGATATATGCGCAGAAAAGGCCGAAGCGAGAAGTAAGCATTCTCTGATATCGGAGGTTCTCGCATGGAGGGAAGCTTCGTCAAATGCTGAAGTGATTGAAGCATATCTATGGGAATAGTCCTCATGTTGAAATTCCTGGAGAACCAAGTTAGGTAGGAGGAACGTGAAGGCTTTGATATCCGGAGAAACTTACCCCAGGTCGATACTCTCCTCGCCCTTTTCAAGACAGTCATTGACCACTTTTCTCGCAAAGCGATGCTCTTCTGACTCTTCAGTTCCATTCACGACAATTTGACGGGGCAGGGCAGGGATTGGTACCGGGCCTCTCGAGAAAGGCAGGTCAGTAGGAGCTCTTCCTGGTGCACGAGGATCCAACACCGTCTTTAAGAGATCCTCTCCCCAGGCTGGCGAATCTTCGGAGGTCAAAAGAGACTCGGCTCCGGACTCATCACTACCCATCCAGACACCACTGTCCACATTGCGTTTTTCCTTGAAATCGGCCCTCTTCCGCTTCGGATCCTGAACTTGCTCTCCCCACCAGGTTCCTCGATATCGACGCTTGCGTCCCCCCGCGCCAGGTACCGGCGCATTATAATTCTCTAGTCCAGACGCAGGGATATCATCACTAGAAAAGAGCGCCGGGTCACTGGAAGGCTGGCTCGAGCGGTCATCGAAACGCGACAGTCGGCGCGACTTGCGAAAAGATGATGCGACCGATACTGGTGCCGATGGGTTTGCGCGTGCTGGGGAACGATGTCTCAGCCGTCGTGGTGGGGGGAGAGGAACTTCGTTATCCATTGCGGCGAGTAGGGGTGCCCCTTAGACGAACAAGTCCTCTATGCTCTCCAGAGTTCCTCAGGAATGTGCTTGGCAGGTGAAATGACGCGGGAGGCTCGCGGGTGCGACACGTGGTGGAGCCGCCGCAGATGTCAACAACGCGCAAACCGAACAAATCCAACGTCCAGTGAAAGGAAGAGCTCGTCAATTGGGCACCCAGGACGTACTGGGATAACAAGGTTAAGTCTGGCGCCTGTCAAAGCCAGAGCTGAGATAAGATCAGATCAAACGACAGCCTGCCCGAAGTGGCAGACGCGTGGGTGCACGGGCATCAGTCAACCGCGGAGGCCACGGCAGGCTGGCAGATCCACCAAGGAATGTTGGATCGACATGATCTTCGCTATCTACTCCGTACCATCAGTAAATCTACAATTGACTCTTGTCTGTACATCAAGGATACATGGATTATTTTATCTTGGAAAAAAGAATAATGTGTCTCATTTCATGTCAAGTGTCCAAGATCGGGGTTTTAACCCACGAAGGCGTATCCAGATAGCATCAAACCGATTCAGGCGTGATCTCGCTCAGGTGTCCGCCGAACTTGAGAGTACCAGACAAATATAGACAAGAAGAAGAGAAGGTAAAAAGTATAAATATAAAAGGGGGGGGTGAGAAGTAAAACAACATCAACTCGTGTCCACAAAGTCGTTATAAATGGGGTATTTGAGAAAGATTCAACGTAAAGCCGTTTCCGTTCCGAATCGGATTCTCCAGCCAACCGGAGGATCAAAAAAGTGAAAGAAGAATAGAAAATTATAGGTCCAATAAAGGTTGTACCTCGGCTTTCTACTGGAGATGAACGGCGGAAGTAAAAGGAGATCCAGACATAGTTCGCCTCCCTTACATTCAATGTAAACAATCGATATCGTTGACACTAGGTCTCTGATATCAAACGATTGCCGGGAGGGTGGATCATTGACTGATATCTCATGGTATCGCGTCCGCGATTACAGGGCCAGGCCCATAATCAGCGCGAAAGATCCGGCACCCAGAACTGCCGGCATGGTGGCGGCGACGTTGACTGCAGCTCCTGTCTTGGTAGCCGATGCGGCAGACTGAGTTGCGGTCGAGGTCGCGGTCACCAGGGGAGTGGAGGTGGCCGGGAAGGTGCTCATGCTGGAGCTGGGAGTGGCAGTGACCGAGTTCACTCGGACCAAGGTCTTGGTAATAGTCGTGGTCGACTGGGAGGTGGTGTCATCGGCGGCAGCAACATGGGCCGCGGCAATGCAGAGGAAAGAGGTGATCAGAGAGCCGAACTGCATTTTGGCGATTGTCAAGGATGCGATGCGATTTTGCGTATGCGGCACTGAGTGTAATGGAAGAGAAAGTCTTGAAGAAGACGAAGGTAATAGTAGGTCGTTGGGGAAGAAGGCGCGACACTATCGTGGATTGGTGAAACAGTTCCGAAAGAGATTCTGTTTCGAATATGTTTTGAATCTTGAGGGCAAACGAGTGGGACTCAAAAAGACAAAGGAGTAAAAAGAATGTGTGAGATAGAGATAGAGTGAGAGTGAGAGAGAGAGAGTGTGTGAGAGAGAGTGTGTGTGTGTGAGAGCGCGGCTCAAGGTGGATGACAGGATGTATAAACGAGTGACTGGGTGGGAAACGAATGACTGGGGTGAACAAATTCTTCAGTGGCGCCAACAGAGGGGGAAAGAGGAGAGAGTATGACAGGGTGTGGCATGCGCCCTAAATACACGAAGGCCCAACGAGCCAGTCGAACCTGGGGAAAGGGTCATTTCACACTTCAGGGCCCTGTGGCGCCCAAATTGAGGGCTTCTATTGATTTTTTTGCGCTACGGATTCCTCCTATTGGTCCGGGTAGCACGCGGTTCCTGGGACTATGGACCGGCCTAAGATCGAACTATGGAGCAATACTCCGTAATGGTAGCCCGAGACTAGTACGAGTAGTAGTTAGTAGCAACAGTCTGCCAAGAAAAACACGAACAGGGTCTCATTGCCGCACAGACTTGTCGAGGTTGCAAGGGACTCTCTCAAAGGGATGTCAACACCCAACCGAGTAGATGATAGACACTGGACATTGGACGAGTTGCTGCAAGTGAATGCAGTATGACTACATCGAGCCTCGCTCTTAGAGATTATCCTTTAGGGCTACGTGGACAGTCAAATCATGGACCTCGTACTCCGTACGAGTACCTATATCCAATCGGATCTCGTAGGGGTCGGATCCGATGGTGTCGGGAAACAAAGAACAAGCACGTCCGCAACGGTACCTGGCCACATGTACAATACGAAATTCTTCGCCCCTCCCCCCCTAAATATTCCACTGGCTCTCGTGCTCGTTCTTGGGTTGCCCTAGACTCCAATGGGGCAGATGGAGCAGATGGAGACATGGCGACCAACTAGTACATATACACGGAGTAGGTTCATCCCCTAACGGCCAACACGAACCGCTTGGGCCCAGCTGAAACCCGTTGGCCGTGAGATTGTGTTTCCCATAGACGCTGTCTTCCTGAAATGAGGATTGGCTCGCAGCATGATGCAGCAGGTGCTATCCTGGACTCTTTGGCTTGTTGGGGCTGGCTCCCCCCCCCCCCCCCCCAAAAAAAACAAGAAACAAAGGACTGTGCGACCCCTGGCGTCATGGATGCAGGAACGGACAGCACGGATCTCGTAGGGTTGGCCGGTGATGATTTGCCCCCCCGGAGGGTAAGAATCGACCGGGCCTTGGAAAAAAATGCTTCGATGCTCATCGAAGGGCTGAGAGGCGACGATCGTATTGGCCAGAACCGGGGGTTAACCGAGATTGGCTCAAATTTTGTCTCATTTTGCCTCGCTCGGGTGGTGTTGGCCGACACGAGAGTGGACAGGTGGGCAAGGTGGGCAAGGTGGAAATGGGTAGACTCAATTCGTTTGATTATTCCCGGGCTTGGCAGAGCTACCCTCCACCAATCAACGGTCTGTGCCTGAACGAAGCCCATGGGTTCCTCCCGGAGGCCCACTACTATAGAGATCGCCTAGTCAACCTTCCATTTGAGGTCTTATAGTGCCCGTTCGTGAGAGTCTGGGGGGGATCGAGAACTTCGCTGATCATTGTCAAGATTTTCAGCCTGACAAAAGTGTGCCTTGCAGCAATCATCGAGTTTAACGGAGTTTGTAGGGAGTATGGCATGCGAAATTTGCAGCGACTCGGACCACAGCCGGAATCTTGGCAACTGCAGTAAGCATCTCACCCAGAATGGGTGCTCCGACTTCAACCGATAGAGTCAAACAACACGAAGCCTGCATTTTGCAGGTTGGGACCGATGATCTGTACAACACCGGACACCGCTTCTTCCGGGCCGCGGCCCGAATATTTCCAAGACTCGTCGGAGTACGGAGGAAGCTAAACGGAACCCTCCATCCTTAACAACAGCCCCCAGAGTACCGTAGGTAGGCATACATATAGACCGTACGGTGTACGAAAATTTAGGCTGAGTAGCATGGCAGGTACGGAGTATAAATCGTTGCTACATATGTATGTATAGTGTTACACGAAGAGGCCTCAGAGCGGGGGAAATGAGCAGCCAAATAATTGGAAGGAAGCCAGAGAGCCAGTCAAATGCCTCGAATTGTCGCCCTAGTCCCATTCTGGGAAAGCTAGGAGGTCTACGGAGTACAGAGTTAAGCTACCGAAGATGTCTCCAATTGTCCCCTAGATGGCCATTCTTTTGATGCACGAAAGAGCTGTTCTTGCCTATCAGGCATTACCCGGGTATTTGATGAGAAAGGCCGAGTCAAACAATAATGAGTTTGTGACCTTATAACGAGCGTAATCCATCGCCCAACACAACCTTAGGAACCGCCATCACTCAGCAGTTGCATCGCCAATTAGGATATGTCGGTCGATGAGGCTATCTAGATATTTGTTCGTCAGAATTCCCTTCACGTTTTGCTCCCACTCTACCTAGTCAGCCTCTCCGGTATACTTCTTTTCACTATTTCGTAACTTGATGGTACTGTCAGGCAAATTGGTCGCCTGTCAGTAATTGATGGGTCTCGCTTTAATTGTGCCAGCGTTCTTCCACTCAGCGCTGATTTGCTCCATCGTGAGAGAGTTGTTGTTTGCTACACCTGCACTAACACCGACTTGATTCACGTCTCTAGCGTTACCCGCAGCGTTACCCGCAGCGTTGGATTCTCTTGGCAATGTATATCTAGGTAGTGGACTAGTTAGTAGGTATGTGTACTACTCGTCAACAACTAATTCGTCCCCTTTAAGTTCCGAGCTTCTCTGTGACACTGCCGAAACGTGGAGAATACCAACTACTACTACATCGCTTTGAAAATCTGCAACGAGAATGATATCAGACTCAGACCTCGGGATGTCTCTAGGTAGGATTGGCCTAATTCAGTTCAACGGCCTAATTTTGAACCTGAAGATACGACCGGTCTCTGTAATTCTAATAGTACTAATATAGCATATATTCCACTGCCTTGAAGTCGAACTACTAGTACAGAACTTGAGACTCAAAGGTATTGGACTTCACCAGTTCATGTTGTTTATATAACCAGTCGATCAGGTGCCTTCGATTTCGCAGAACGAAAAAGCCCAGTCACAAAAAGGGCCAAAGTATCGCATGCTGAAGCCGACAGAAACTGTAAGCAATAATACCGTTGATACCCATCTCGCCATGCCTGCTAAGAGAAAATGGCGAGCTTTCGGTGACCCGTCGATGCGACTAGCATATATACATTGAAAATTGGGCGTCCGTCAGCTTTCTCATAAGAGCAAAGCTTTCCAGTTATAAACCCAAGTAGCTGCCAGCCCAAGTGTTTCAAGGTCGTCAAAAACGCTTCACAAAATGTAATGATTATATCGTACAAAACACTCCCCCGCCTTTCGATTTGGTCATGTTCGCATGAACCTCGGGCATCCCAGCACAAACGCCAGTGACTGTCAAGTTTATTGGCGCATAGGCTTCAAGGGGCTTTGACGAGGAAGCATCATAGGAGGGCCGCGGGCACGGAGCCAGGCATCGTTGCGGGGTCCATCAGTACGGATCACGCTGCCGATGGACATGAATAGTCTGTAGATTAGAAGCACCTTGGTTAGCCTGCTATTGACAAAAAGCAATGCACATCGCAAGAAACGAGGGCGTCAAGAAAGGTATAGAGGGCACGGCGGAACATACCCAAAAGTGGCACCGGAGCCCAACATGTACTTGCCCAGTGTCCGCATGACACCGTTAGGGCCGGCACCGTACTGGAAGATAGTGACAGTTCCTGCAATTCATGAGCTGACTGAAAAGAAGTGTAATTCCCATTTGGATTAGATTCCAACTTACCGATAATGAAGCCCATGATTCCACCGACAGCTAAAGGTGGAGAATCACGTCAGTTGGACGCAGCTCTTGTACTTCGCGCTTGCAGCAGATACATACTGGAACCCATCAGACCACCCATTTTCACTAATATATGAGTTAGCTTATGCTTTATAGAAGCATTTTTCTGCATTTCAGAGCAGCTTCCTAGGCGGATTGTATGGGCCACTTACTCTTGTCAAAGGTCGAAGGACCGGCAGCACCTCCGCCAGGGGCAGGACCTGCGACAACGGGCATTGTGGAGTAATTTCAGAGAGGCGGTATCGAACAGAGAATGGGTATCAAGCGAGCAGGAGCTCAAAGGCGGATGAGGCGAAGTTTAATGATGTGAATGGGATTCGGAGAAGCTGCTTTTTCTCCTCAGCGCAACGGAGCCGTCTCCGCCTGTGTCACCTGATCGTAACGGCACCACCACACGTGCGGGTAGAGCACGTGACCATACATGGCCATTCGACGGGGGCCGTCAAGGGAGCCGATCTCCTCCTCTCCTTGGGTGATTACGCTTCATGGCCGACCATCCTCGATCTTTGATTTCTCACCTTCTACATCCTTGTTAGGGCGGCTTCAAGCCCGTGGCAAGGCGGCAGTCCCGTCTAGCGTTTCCTCCATTGTCCCTGGGACGGTGTGAGACACCGGTCGCTACTCAGTTTCCGGCAAGACCTCACACGCCTCCCTGGTCTGGGCACGGTTTTTATGTCCTAGATTGTGAATTAATATCTTCCGATCTACATTTAACGGGTAAGTTCAACTTGATTCGACCGCTTGGATGGGCACTGGATGACTTCAGTTCGTGCCTTCGGCTTGGGGTCAGACTAAATTGTTTGGCAAGCGACTGGCGCTAACGCGACCGTTCTGACCTAGCCGGCCGACCAGGAAAAACAACAGCCCTGTCTACTTCACAGACAATTCTTTCGCTCACGAACACCGTCACGATTTGACGCAAATTAGAGACCGCCATACCAATCACCCGACCGTCCCCTGGCCTCATTTCATCACCATCGATTTGCACCTGCCAAGCATCCGCTTAGACTCTCTGTCGTGTGGAACTTTCGCCCGTATCCTTCTCCATGACTGCTGTCGCATCTCCACCTAGTGTGCAATCGGGGTCTCGCTTGGGATGGTACAGCACTGGTGACGGAGGACAAGGAGCCCTGTCTTCGATGAACACCGACGAAGTGTCACGGATGTTCATGCCAAGGAAACACGTTCAACGGTCGAATTCCTCTTCCTCGCTTGGGTCAACTGCCTCCACGAACACTGTGACCAGCAACAATTCACAAGATATCCATGCTGGGCAGGTATCCAACAGTGAATCCGGTACCTGGTCATCGAAACCAAAGTCTACCCGCAAAGTCTGGCCAAACTCCAAAGCCGAACCAGTCTCGGGAGTTTCAACTGCACGATCTCAAGCGGGTCCTGCATTCTCGTCAGGGCCGACTGCCTCATCCACAATGTCCGCGATTCACCAGCCATCCTCTATTGTCCCATCACAGCACATGCTTCAGTCTTCTCAACAGAATGGGGTCCGACAGCAGCCCAACGGACAATCTGCGGACCCTCCAGCTATATTGGCCCTTACGCCAATGAATCAAACCTTTGAGAAGAAACAGATAAATGTGCCCTTTTACCCTGAAGTTTTACGGATCGGCCGCCAGACGAATGCGAAAACAGTCCCGACCCCATTGAATGGATTCTTTGATTCAAAGGTACTGTCTAGGCAACACGCTGAGATCTGGGCCGAGAAGGCAGGAAAAATTTGGATTCGCGACGTTAAGTCTTCAAATGGAACTTTCGTCAACGGACATCGGTTGTCACCTGAGAATAGAGAGTCGGATCCCCACGAATTACGGGAAAACGATACCCTTGAGCTCGGAATCGATATTGTCAGCGAAGATCAAAACACCATTGTCCATCACAAGGTCTCTGCTAAAGTTGAGCACGCCGGTCTTTATGGATCAACCCCTAACATCCTTGACCTAAATTTCGGAGACTTGGATCCTGCATCTGGGGGCGGACTTCTACCTTCGCCCCTCAGCCAACCGCTTTCGCACATGCGCGGACGATCTGGTAGCAACATGAGCAATCGTTCTGCTCAGAGTGCTGCTAGCAATCAGCTCAACGTCATGCACCAACAACGTCAAATGAACTACTGGAACTCCCCCCATATCCGTTGAACAGGTGGTCAAAAGACTCACGGTAAGCTTCCAGATTAAAGTCGATTGTCACAAGTTTTGATTCTAACATGTTATCTCAGAACGAGTTGAAGCAAGCCAAGCAGCAATCTCAAGATCTTCGCCAAACCGACGATTTTCTGACAGCGATCAGACAGCCAGGTTATGCTGAGAAGGAAAGAGTGAACAAGCCGTCGCCTCTCGAAGGCAACCCTTCCCGTCAACTTAACGGACGCCCCAAAATGCCCCGCGTCGATTCTTTCTCCAGATTCTCAGACCCACCCGCACCTCCGCCTCAACAACCTCTCCCCGAAAAGCCCGATGCTCCCCCACGTAGTGGGTCGGAGTCTTTCTCGCCCCTAAAGCGCAGTGATACGGATAAACCCAAGTCAATGTCCACGAGCTCCCCTGTTTCTCGCGAATCGAGTCAGATTTTGTCTCTTATTGAGGCATTGTCAATTGCCAAACGCGAAATTGATACTCAGGGAACTCGTATCAAGGAGCTCGAAGATCTCCTTCGCGAGGAGAAAACTGCGCGTGAATCTGCTGAAGACAAGGCCAAGAAGCTGGAGACTCCTAGCCCGACAGAGGAAGAAGAAATTAAAACCGAGAAGGCCCACCCGGAAGCTCTGGATGAAGGACTCCCCGTCAAACAAGAACAAGACGGTGTGAAATCCATCGGAGAACCCAACGGTACCATCCTGTCTTCAGAGGCTCCCTCACCACCCGAAAACAAAGAGGCAGAATCTTCCGCGAAAGCACACGCCGAGCAATTGCAGCGTCGTCTTGATACTATGGCCGGAGAGATGGAAGAGATGCGAAAGCAAATGGCGTCTTTCAGGGAGCGTGCTGAGACCGCTGAGGATGAGACAGTGCAGTCGAGGAAGTCTTTGGCAGAGATGATCGAAACTCTCCGCCAAGAACGCACAGAAAAATCTGCAGCCAGAGCCACTGAGTCCAAGACAGATGGATTCAATGATGATCCGGCAAAGACTGTTTCTGACCATTCAATTTTAACCGAGAATGGCGTTGCCAAAATTGGCGCCCCGGCACAGAACTTTGACCCCGGATCTGCAAAGAGCAAAGAGGAGGATTCTACTTCAAACGTTACGACTTCCTTGCAACGGCGTCAGTACCTCGAGGAAGCAAGTCCCTACGCTTCCATATTCGGAGTGGTACTCCTTGGGGTCGGATTAATGGCCTATCTCAACGGGTGGCAAAAGTTGGACAAATAACCCGATTTGGCTACTTCTTGCACTCCTCGTTTGACTCACATTAATGATTGCTTTCCTGCAAAACCCGGCGTCTTTCATTGCTGATTAGCCAGCATGGCACTTTTCATCCCGACGACTCTTTCCACTTGACGATTTGATTTCCCTGTATTTTAGGGGCATGGCCTGCTGGCTGAGGCGCCTAGCTGATTGATACTTCTGGGGTTCGGTGTTGGTTTCCATGGCCGTCATATCGCATAGCTGCATATTGTGACCTTCTTTCCTATCTTTTGTGTCATGAGCCCCTTTTAATTCGCGCCAATAACGATCCTTGGTGTCGAATGTCCTGATCCTTTCACACCGGGTTGAATTCGACCTTTTTCTTTTCTTGCAACGCACCCTGTCTTCATATCCCCCGTCCTATCAGTTTAGCCAACACGGTCTTTATTTCTCGTCTCTTTTTAACCCTCTTGTCATCCTTTAACTGCTTTGGCCTTCGTCTTTCGAGGGACTGGTGTTCACTTCCTTCTCTGTACATGATGCACATTACCAAGGATGGTCATGACCTTGGCTCTATTTTGATGCCATTCAATTAAATCCTGTTCACGAGCACTATCGATCATGTCTTGATAGTGCAACCTTCTAGTTCTTTCCCTCGATTTCGTATGCTTCACTTTAGCGAGCGCAGTTCTTTTTGCCGGTTGAGCGTTTGCAGATGTTTCTCCCAGTGTAGATTCGTTTGTTAGTATGTCAACGGCGTCTGTCCCAGTTGCCAAAAGGAGTCGGTTTCTGCTTCATTTTCAGATGTCTATATTCAACTTGTAAATAGGTCGTAGAGTGTAAGAAAGTTGTTCTTCGGCCTTTTTTTAAGATAATGCTATAGTCCAAATTTCACTACATTGGAAGTTCTGTAACAACTTGAAAATACGACATGGTCAGATCCCAGTATACTGTCAACCGGCATAGTACACTTATCGAAAAGTATGGAAATGAAAAGACCAGTCGAATAAAAACATAAAATCAGACATACTAGTAGCAAGGTTCAACATTAAATAAGATCAATGAGTAACAACAATACATGTACACGTTATGGGACGCGCCCTTTTACCATCCACGCTGCTGACCACCAGCAGTTTGATTCTCATAATCAGAACTCCTCACACGGGGATCCAACTTGTTCAGAAGATTAGAGCTGTGTGGTCCGGAAGATCTTCTTCTCTGGGTGTTAGAGCTGCTACCCCGGCGGCGGCAGTGCCACCGAATCCCTGCTGGTCGGTACGGTTGTTGAGCTCAGATTCGCCGCGAGACTCCATCTGGTTAGCCATATTGGATCCGGCATTGCTGCGAGTGTTGTAGCCGTGGCTACCGCCGAGGTTGGTGTCATTGGTCCTATCACCCATACCGGAAGCTCCATACCCTGAGGTGGAGGCATCCACTGGCATTTGACCGGTATTCAGTTCGCTAGAGCCATACCCTCCAGCGTAGCTAGAGTTATAAGTTGTGGCATCGGGTTTGGAGTTCCCAGTACCCATGCCCGAATCATAGCCCCCAGAAGGTCTATCAGATGAGGCAAGCCCGCTCGTATCTCTCGTGTAATCACGATAAGCTTCGGTATTAGAGCCACTGGCATCGTGGCTACCCGTAGCACCAGTAGTGCCCGTGGTGCTCGAGCCGTACGCATTAGCAGTATCTATTGATGTTAGCAAATGGCGTATCTGATAATTTTGCTTTTTCAGTTACCTCGCATGGCATCCATACCACTAGTGCCAGTCTGATATCTACCAGATCCATGGTTTCCTGTGGTGCCCATCGTGTTCGAGCCCAATGTGTCTTTCAAATCACTCTTCTTAGAGTCGGGGAAACCACCAGCACTGTATCCACCAGAGCCGTAGTCCTCGGTATTTCTAGTGGCACTTCTACCGGTGTTCATATTGTTGTCCGTACTCATTCTGGGATTATGAATACTGCTATCTTGGGGATTGGTACCATATGTATCACGAGCCTCGGAGCCCATGGCAGACGAGTTGTACTGGCCCCGGTTATGTTCAATATTCTGGTCAGACGAATCATGGGAGGACCCTTTGTGCTCATTGTGGCCAGTGAGTGCATCCTTGACCTTGTGCATCAAATTCGACATGGCGAGGAATATGTTCAGATTTGGGTCTAGAAAGTTTTTGGTGGAAGCAAATGACAAGTTAAACTTGAAGGTGTGATAGTTTAAATACTAGTAGTTTGTACTAGAACTTGAAGTACTTCGAACGTAATTCGATCCAGAGAACTGACCGAGCGATAATTTATACATTCATGGACACGCATTAGTTCACTTCACTCCATTGTGAAATTACCGCATCTTGAAATCAGTGACGCCATAACGCGGGGTTGGAAGGATAGAAGGGACCAGTCAGGCCGGGAGATATTCCATTCAGTCTTTTTGAAAGCTCAATGACGTTCTGGCGGTATACCCAAGATGCTGAAACGGCCAGCTTCCAGCGAATAACGGAACCATCCATACCCATGTCATCTGGCGTCATGAGCTATGAAGACGAGACCAAGCCTCGCCACTGGACAAGGGTCTCAATTGTATCCACACCCCGAGATCGCGTGGAGACGAGAGCCGTGGAAGCATGACTGGGGATTTGCCTCCTAAAGCTGTTGTCATATTTCCATGGGTCGATTAATAAGGAAGGTGATTTCTCAATGGCCATGATACCCTCAATACGTGGATACGCAGTAACATCATATGCAGTGGCTTGGTGTCGAAGTTTCGCTGGCCTTTTCTGTTTTTCACCTTCATTCGCATGGTCTAGGTCTACCAAAACAAATATCCACGGTATAGCCGAGTAAAAGTGGCAAAGTATTGATATGGAGTACGAAGTATCGTACGTCATGTCAGCGGGTAGTCCACTAAGCTGTGATGGGATAGTTAAGTGGAGAAGCAACCATTGTTCTCATCTCCAGGGTAGAAATGTACTAGTAGTGTGTATGTGAACTCTTGGAGTATTTGATTGGATTATATATAGTAGTCTCCTGGTCTTGAAGTTATTATATAGTCAACGGTATCTGTACCACTATGTTGCTGTCTGATCGCGATGTCGTGGTTATGACAAGACTAAGACTCGGACGTGGGTCGGTCCCGAGAGTGGGACTGGGACTGGGGAGATCCGCGTCAGCTAGTCTCAGAAAGCCTGAGGTACATACGACTCACGAGTTATGTTGATTTACTCTGTAGATTGCTGTCAAGATCTCAACGGGACCTCTAGATATTAACCCTTCTCCCATTCACCTGATGACCAGACAATGTGATCAAGTAATATGACCACAAGCCTTGGCAAGTCTGCCTCAGGCATGACACACAATGCCGTCACAAGAGGGTTACCTAATCCCACTCGGGAGCTTTGTCCACCCCGGGACTGACTACTCATACTGCCTTAAGACCAACTCCTTTGCATCCTCTGTGCCCCTCTCCCCCTTTTGTATTCTGGGCGTGTGAGTGTGAGTGTGAGTTTATGTTTTGACCGTGACTGTCGCTTCGTTTTTTTATTGTTTAGCTTAGCGGTGCTGCTCATTGTCCTCGATGAGTGGCCGCCTGTTCGCTATACGCCAACCGTTGGATTGGTCGACCGTCCCATCCGTCAGCCGTTGTGATACAACGGGAGTTCCAGGCAAACCATCTACTGGGCTCCCTCGACATATCCGTCTGCACTTCTCTCAAATTCTCTAGTCCTCTCGATTCTCATACCGCTGCCAGAGATGCGGTCGTCACGCCTTCTTCTGGGACTCTTCTGCCTAATCTTCTTCCCTATCCTTTTCACCCTCTTCTCCGCCTTCTCCTCGTCAAAGGTCGCAACCCCCAATACACTCGCTGGACGCTCGTCCGGGCTGCATGCCTTGTTTTCCTTCAATATCCCGACCTCTCTCTTCCCCCCGTCCGCCATCATCAGCCTCACCGATGACAACTCGACTTTCTTCCTCGCCCGCCCCGCAGCGTTCGGCCCACTTTTACCCGGCAAAGGCCTGAGTGGCCGGCTTTGGGTCGGCAGTGGCTTTGGAGAGCCAGGACTTGCTACAGCGTCAGAGGGTGAGCTGGGCTGCTCCGATATTCCCGGCTGGGGCGAGGGAAGTGGCCATAAAACTCAGGATGCGCCCCCAAGGGGCACGGAACAGAAAACCAGCAGACCCGGCGGTGGCACGATGGACGATGCTGCTGTTCCACAAAATCGGCCCCGGCTGCCATCGCAGGTGGAGTCCGTCCGTCCAAACGACCGCCATGATGGTGCTTCCCTCTCCACGAATGATGGGACCGACGACCATTTGCATCACCCTCTACCGGAATCTGGCGCGTCAGGTGCGGGGGCGACCCGGAAATACGGCGACTACGTACAAAGCAAGCAATACACCCATGCCGATATCCAGTCGCTGCAAGAAATGGCCGAGATCCAGGGAAATGTTGTACTGCTGAGTCGCGGTGGCTGTGGATTCCTGGAGAAAGTGAAGTGGGCCCAACGCCGAGGCGCCACGGCGGTGATAGTAGGAGACGATACCCGTGGTGGCAACTTGGTCACCATGTATGCTCGAGGTGATACGTCGAATATTACCATTCCAGCCCTATTTACTTCACATACAACCGGTCATCTTCTCTCGTCATTGATACCGGGTCATTCAGGCGCAGCCCATGGGGTTGGAGATGCTTTGACATCGCTTCAGGCAAAGCTTGCCGGCCAGGCTAATGTCGATGTGCAGAAAGCCACAGCTACAACAACTTCGATTCTGGTGTCTACGCCTACGGTCTCTTCTATGAGCTCGTCTACAATTAATGAGCGGCCTACTGCTGCTCAGCCCAGTGGCGGCTTTTTCCGCACACTCGGCTCTTTGCTAGGGCTGTGTGATCGCCATGGAGGCTCCAAAATTGCTGGTGACAGCAGACGCCCGCCTAATAGCGGAAATCTTGACTGGATGAGACTTGGATCCTGGGACTCCGCTAGCTCTCGATCGCAATCATCCAAGAGTCTCAAGGAGAAATCCCGCCATCGTGGCAAAGCTGACGACAAGTCAAGCAGCCCCCCGATCGGTCTCGTATCTGAAAGTGTCGATGGTGACGACTTCGTCATTGGAGTTCAAGACTGGAGAGACCCCGATTTAATGCCCCCGCGCGAAAGTGCGCTTCCAATACCTAGTACCTCTACAAGTGGAAAGGAAAGCTTGAAGACTTCAGCTCCTGATAACGATATTGAATCAGGCACCAACATCCTACGTGGTGGAAGTATCACCCCTGGTAGTGGTGAATATCAAAGCATTGACAGGTCCACCGGTAACGTCCATGACGCCAAGGTAAAAGAGTTGGAGAAAGAACCCAATGCTGCAAAAGAAGAATCCAGCCAAGCTGGCACGGGGTGGTTCTCGAGTCATTTCGGCTGGGGCGATGAAGATTCAAAACAAGTGGCTCAGCCATCTGCTTCTCCTCTGGTACAGAATCCACCTATCAACCAGAAAACCCAAACTGTGGCCCAGTCGTCCGCAACCGCGAACCCCATGTTTACAGAGCACGAAGGCCTCTGGGTCACGTTGACGCCCACCAGCATGTCAACAAGCCCATTCTTCGACACTCTCCTAGTCCTTGTCATCAGCCCGTTACTGACATTGACCGTTGTATACGCTTTGCTATTGCTTCGATCCCGAATTCGGCGACGTCGCTGGCGCGCTCCAAAATCTGTTGTTGAACGCCTTCCCGTCCGAACTTACCACACAATTGCCAGTATTTCGTCCTCTTCTAGCTCCAGCTCTTTACGGAACGCTATTCCGGGGCCTGTCACACCAGCCTCTCCACTTCTTGGCAGTGGAAATTTATCAGGCGCGTCTCGACCAACGCGATCACGCTCTCAGACTATTGCCGGAATGACTGTTGACTCATCACTGACACCAAAGGAAGAGAAGTCAACCACTTTACAGTCCGGGTCAATCCTGTGGCGTCGTAAATATACTGGTAGACAGGTGGAATGTGTTGTTTGCCTCGAGGAGTATATTGATGGACAAAGCCGGGTGATGAGTTTGCCTGTGGGCATGAATTCCATGTGGAATGCATGTAAGTGACTAATTTTAATAGCCCTGTTCAACGCTGTATAGTTGTACTAAACTATTCTAGTACTCCGTGGCTCACAACCAGACGACGAACATGTCCGATTTGCAAAGGAGATGTTGTTCGCTCATTGGCGCATTCTTGCGGGGATGACTCCCGTGAGCAAAACGAAGAACCTACCGAAGGTCATATTCAGACGCCGAATTTGCAGTCGGAATCCTCGTCCGCTCCGCTCCTCATTGCCAGCATGAGTGATGATATGGACACCGAACAACATGCGGGTCTTGATGCCCATGCTAGCTCTGCACCACAGTCAAGCTGGAGGAATCTCGCAACTCTCAGCTTTTCCGCTCTCAGTGGCGATACTATTTGGCACCAAGCTCGTGCGGACCGGAATCGCTAACCATATTGAGATCTCCCCTGTTCTTACCTCTATCTCTCTGTAGCCACACCGTGGTATTTGCTCTCACCACTTTCACGCATGCTGTATTAGCGATTGTTTGATTCCCTTATGATTTGATTTGCAGGGCGTTTAGCGGGAACATCTCGAAGTGCTTTGCGGTTGCAAATCACCCGCGAGCGTTGTTGAGGCGGCTGGGATACGCCGCAAGGTCATTCGTTTGTAATATTTCTTCGTTGAATTGAAGCCTTGAGTGGATGGATACCCTTGCACTGGAGGATTAACCGTCTCCCCCATTAACTAACTGAGATTCTTTGTCTTCTACTGGTATCAGTACGTAGCTCAAGGGTCCATAGATGAACTTAAACTTTGGAACAATCCAACCTCAAGTTGTCTTACTAAAGCCAAGCGGGTCTTGCCTCCCCAACTTCCCAAAATGGCAATGGCGCCTGCTGAGTACCTGAGAGTACCTCCAGACCTCACCTTCCTTCCGTTGGTCCATTGTTTACTACTTCACTCCTCTTCACTCCTCTTCACTCTCTTCTTTGCTTGTCATCGCAAACCTCTATCCAGGTTCAATCATGTCTTCATCAACCTCGTTGAGACGCAGAGATCGCGCGGCGCGGTATCGAATGGACCATCAGGGTGTTCCAAGTGCTGTTCATGGTTATGTCGATAACCCTGTTCTTCAACATCCCCCGACGTATCCTGGTCCACAGAATGCTCCGGGCTACTACTACCCCAATCCCTACCCTGCTTATCCTTACCAGCCTCAGAATCCTTATCCCGTCCCAGGTCGACCCCCTTATGACGGCCGAGGTAATGGTTATCCATACCCGTGCTATCACTCTTACCAACCTTCGCCGCACTACTCAGCCTCTACACCTGTTCCCTATCCACCTGCACCCAATGCTCCAGGGTATTACCAAGGAACGTCATTTACTCCCGGGTTCAACTCTTCTTCTGGCTACTATTTCCAACCGAGTCCAGTCTATCAACAAAATCAGTTTCAATACCCAGCGGAGATGCCCGCGATGCCTTCGTATGAGGCATATCCGAACATGAGAGTTGAAGGTCATAACTCCCGAATCTCTGAGGCGAATTTCCCTCAGTTATTGCATCCATTCGTTCCGCCTCCTCGTCCTTTTCCACAGTCTCGGCCTTTGGTGGCTACCGTGGCCCCCTTTCAACCATCATTGGCACAGAAAACCCCCGTGATAGAAAAGCAGAACCCTCTGAGATCCGAAGACTCGAGTTCTCAGATACCAAGCCACGTGGAGCCAGTCCAAGCAGTGCGACTGACTATGGAAGACTTTCCAGCACTCCCGAAGTCTCAGGCTAGCGCGGCTCCTCTGAAGGAAAAGCATGCCACAAAGGTAATGGAGGCATCAGGCCAGGGTAAAACAGTGGCTACCTCTATGAGCGAGGGTTCGAATGTTTCACTTTCTTCTCAAGATACCCCCGCAATGGATACCAGTTCTCATCCTATCAAGCCCAAACAGGTTGGCGCCATATCTCGAGTGAAAGCGATTCCAATAAATGACACGACCACCGTTCAAGCAATTACGGCAACCAATCCCTCAGCATCCGATTCTGGCTCTGGCAGTAGAGAGGGTCCGATCGAGCCAACTGCATTAGCCGATGACGGCATTTTGTTTGCAGGCCCAGAACGATCCGAGACAGGGCTTAGCCTGCAGCCTGCTACCCATCGTCCTGTTCCTTATAGGGTTTCTGCGGCTTCTGAAATCTCGAATACTGGCTACGCTCCCAGCCATGCCACCCCAGCTGCAGTTCGCGCTCCACCTGGTATCGAATGCTCGGATGAACGTAGGTTGCGAAATATCATAGTCATGGAGTTTGAAGCTGAGTTCATGGATCATTTCACAGCAGATCGGGTCGAGCAATGGACTGAAATGCGCCAACATGAATCTATTGAAAATGAGAACACGTCTAATGGGGGATTGCACAGGGATGTTGAATTCTGGCGCATGGCCCCTGGGACAAATCTCTATGGCTCTGGACCGTTTAATCCTGCAAGCCCTTCTCGGACCTTTGACATTGAGAAGGAATACAATCACATCCTGTGGGACCCAAGCCACAGGTTTTGGGATACACCATCGAATTCTCGAATGTCGCCTACTCGCATCCTAGCCGGTGACCCCCAGACTCAGC